GCCTAGAAAACTGCAGACCTCATAAAACAAGAAGATGGGTGGAAAGAACACAGAGGAAGGTATAGGAAATCCATCCTAGGGTCACTTTCACTGCATGTCTTTTTTTTTAAGCTCCAACAATTCAATTAGGTACAAACAATCCCAACCTTGAGGTTAGTTACCTATACCCTGGAAGGAGTCACTAAATTACTCCACATCTCAGTTGCTTCTAGTAAAAATAATGGTGGTGGTTCTTGCTTTGGTTAATTTCTCCTCTATGAAATGAGAAGGTTGGACTAAACCAGCAGCCTTCAAACATGACCTCTAGGTTCAAGAAAAAATGAAATCTTGTGGAGATGTCCACTGTAAGAAAAAGAAATTATAAAAGTGAGCTGTTTTGCATGCTTAGATAAATCCTCATAAAAATCTGTTGTGAAATGTAAGAATGTTTGAGATTCTAACACCCTTGTGGAAATAAAATATTTTTTGAAGGTTTCTAGTCCTGAGATGGCCCGAGAAGGTAACAACTGAAAAAGTAAAATTCTGCCCCTGCCATACCTCAGGCTGAGCTAGCACTGATAATGACAGCTGCCAAGTGAGCAGGAAACATGTCTTCCAAAGACAGGATGATGTTATCCCAGGTCAAATAACCCCCTTCTTTGGGTGATTGCTACTTTCTTACTCACCAAGACAAGCCTCCTTCTGAAAAATCATTGACTATCAGAAAAGCAGCTATTTGAAACCATCAGTAAGAATGAAACATCCCATGCTTGCCTGGTAGATCCAAGATGCTTTGAAACCAACAGGCAGCCTCCATTTCCAAACCAGGTGCTGAGCTCCACTGAAGGGGTTTCTGGATGCACTGTCTGCACCTATCCTAACTCTGTAATCTCCAAGGATGAAGGACCCTGGGCCTACTCCGCAGTCCAGACCTGATATTGATCCTTTGTGCCAGCCCTGTTTGCCTTAACTCTGTCAAAACACTGTTTCTTTTAAAGTTCACCTAAACTCAACTCCTCTCCCAAATCTCCAAACTTCATGTTTGTTTGCTTAGGCATCCCAGGGTTCCTCGGGTCTGAGTCTCCCCTCTGTGCAAGGAACCAATAAATCTGACTTTGTCCAGCTATGGTTTTGTTCCTAGTGTTCTTTGATTGGGCTAAGACAGGTCACTTGCCAATTGAAAAACCTTGGTCAAGTCGTCTAACTGCATAACCTCATCTGTAAACGTAGAAGAAATTCTCCCTGGCTTTTACTACACAATGCATGAGCAAGGATCAAACTGATCATGTATATGAACACTCCTTGTTGAGAGAACAACATATATAGGATTATTTATTAGAACTAGTACTTTTAACAAAGAGGTTCAAATATAAAAGAAATGATTAGTCCTGATAATCCACATTTGGTGGTACAATATTCAGCTTATTTAGCCCTCATGTGAAAGAGTGTTTTCAGCTCAGCTGGGTGTGAGTTTGAGTCTTTGCAATCTTGTTGATTAGCAGTGTGCCTTTGAGTGAGTTACTTTGCTTCTTGGAGAGCCATTTGACATGTAGAATGGGAATGATAATATCTGGTTTTGTTCAATGGAGGAAAGAGAACAGCCCTACTGTGCCTGGCCCAGGAAGCACTCAGCATGTGTTCATTCCCTACTGACCACCCAAGGGAGTCAAGCTACAGTTCATTTTGTAATTTCTACATTACAATACCAGGTTGGCATTATTCCCTCTAAAAAGTTAGTGTTTAGATAGTGGGGTTCAATAACTTGATTCCACTTTCTTGAACAATGGCAGCAATGTGACAGGTTAGAGATAGGTTGTGGCTTGGCTATGGCTCTTTGCAATGCAATTAGCTTCAATCATAGTGTATGGCATATTTGGCTGGTCTAGTTACTTCTGAGAATTCAACCCATTATCCTCCTATTCATGATTACGGATTTACTCACCAGAACTAATGAAATAATCTCGTAGAGTGCTTCGAGTCTTTGCTTATTATTCTGGAAATTACAGAAGACAGAAAAGAATAGCATAAACCATCACAACTGCAATTGCTTAGAAAATTGCTTAGAAAATCTTAATTGCATATACCATTTAGAAAAGATACTGCTTATCTTTTGTGGAGAAAAGGTCAATGCCTTATTCAAAGAAACCTGACAGCAACCCACATCATCTTTAAAATATTAATTCCAGAAATACCAGGATTGAATTTAATGTGAGTGGTTAAGCGTGGTCACTGGTGCCTGTAATCCTAGCATTCTGGGAGGCCTAGGTGGGAGGATGGCTTGAGGGCAGGAGTTCGAGATCAGCCTGACCAAGAGTGAGATCCCATCTCTACTAAAAATACAAAAAATTAGCTGGCCAACTAAAAATAGGAACAAAAAATTATCCAGGCATGGTGGTGCACACCTGTAGTCTCAGCTACTTGGAGGGCTGAGGCAGGAGGATCTCTTGAGCCCAGGAGTTTGAGGTTGCTGTGAGCTAGGCTGATGCCACTGCAATGAAGCCTGGGTAACCGAGTGAGACTCTGTCTCAAAAAAAAAAAAAGGAAGAATTTAATGTGAGTGAACATAGCATCATGAGGTTGCTTTTCTCCAATCCTTAACTTCTTTGCTGTGGAAACTGTTTAGCAGTGAGACCTGTTGTACCAACTAAAACAACTTTGCAGAATGAGAATGAAGAAATGATAATCCTGCTGCTTTCAAATTAAACAAAAAAATTTAAGAACCAGATTTAGAAATGGAAGTAAGGAATCCAATGATATGCAGAATACATGTATATGCTAGTTTCTATTTTTTGCAGACAGATTTTCTAAATTAGCCTAATTAGTAGATCCTTCGTTGAAACTGCAAAGTCTTTTCGTTAAGTTCATATTGACTGACATAGGGAAATGACCAAAAAATAAACTTGAGCCAGGCTTGGTGGGTTGCACCTGTAGTCCCAGCTCCTAGGGCAGCTAAGGTAGGAGGATTATTAGAGTTCAAGAGTTTGAGGCTGCAATGAGCTATTATCCCACCTCTATACCGCAGCCTGGGTGACAGAGCAGGATCCCATTTCCAAAAAAAAAAAAAAAGTAAACTCAACTAAATAACTGAAGACCTACTCTGTGTGCCATAGTGGGAGATGCTTGAAACATACACACAGAGGATTTAGGCCTGGGCTCATGAAACTCAGTCCAGTGGAGTCACGTACATCAACTGTGACAGAAAGGAGAGCACAGTGTTGAAGCAGAGGCTGGAACAAGAGACAAAGTTTGAAGGGTGGGCAAAGTTTTACTGTAAAAGAGAAGTTAGTAAATATTCTCGTCTTTGCAGGCCATACGGTCTCAGTGGCCGCTACTCAATTCTGCCACTGTCCCGAAAAAGCAGTCATGGACATATGTAAACAAGGGAGCATGGCTGGGTTCCAGTAAAACTTTATTTACAGACACTTTGAATTGCCAAAACTATTATTTTTCTTTTGATTTTTCCCCAAGCATTTAGAAATGTAAAACTCATTCTTAGTTCAAGGGTCGTACAAAACCAGGTGGTGGGGTGGATATAGGCTATAGGCTATTGAGGGCCAAAGATGACTTTTTAATACTTTCTAGAATATTTCAGCAGATTTTATAGTGTTGTTCAGTTGGACTTCAATATCTTTATATAGCCTCTCCTTTCTGTGGTTTAATTCACATTATAACTATTAGTATAATTTCAAGAGATGGCCAAATAATTAGGATTAAAGGCAATTTGTCAAATCCATGGAGTTGGTAAAGGAAATGTTTGCTGAGCCATGTGCTTAGCAGTTTGCTGGCCGTGTGGCTCTAGACTGGAAGATGTGGGAGATTGAAAAAGGCAAAGCAAACCGACCAGAGTAAGCAGAAAAACTTCCCAAAGATTTTTCTCAGGCATTCTCGCACAGGGTGAACTGAACCCTTTGCACAAATGACTCAGCAGCACCAAACTGACTTGGCACGTCAACCCATTTCCTAAAACCACCTGAGCAGTTGGCTTGCCAAGGCATCCTGGGTAATCCCGACCAACCCTAACCTGAGTAGCCCTGCACTTGCCTAGACCAACCAATCCATTACCTGAGGCACTTTGTGACTTTTTGTTTCTGTGAGGGAACTCCCCTACATCCCTGTCACCTGGGCCCACAAGTGGCATTGTGTACACCCAAAATGAACAACTTTTCTAGAGAAAAATTCCCCTTCAGCTTTTGGTTCTCACTCCTTTTCATTTTGGGGACTCAAATTAGTCCTGGGGCCAGAGGCCAGGTGATAAGTCATTCCTTCCATTGTTTCCTACGACCACAGTTCTGTTCAGAAGAGAACTGGTTAATAAGCGGGCAGTATGACTGTGTGGTTAATTATCTGTGCCCGGTGTGGTACCCCGGTGCCGAGTGTGCATGCTCAGGTGTGAGCCCTTGGTGAGGCGTGTATCTGTCCTACAGGATGCATGCCCAGGTGCATCTATCTGATGTGGTGTGTCCCCAGGTTTATGGAGTCGTTTGTGAGTCTGTGTGTTTGATGCGGGGTGGCCCAGGTGAGTCAGGGTCCAACATGGACTCACGGCTGAGCCGAGAGCCCAGGTGTGTTAGGGTGTGCGTGACCGGTGGGGGGCGTCCCCAGGTGTGTGGAGTTGGCAGCGCTGTCTGCGACGGGGCGTCCCCGTGGGCCCCGCGCGGGGCTGGGAGGGGACGGCCGAGCGGCCGAGCCCCGCGTCCTGCCTGCAGGGGGCGCCGCCCGGGGCGGCCTGGGTGCCGCGCGCCCGCCCCGCCCTGCACTTCCGCTCCGCGGCCCGTCGCTGTGCCAGGCGGTCCCCGCAGGGCGGCAGGTGAGGCGCTGAGCGCGGGCGGGGACCGGGGGACAGGGCGGCCCCGCCTGCCGCGCGGCGTCCGGGGCACCGCGGGGCGTCGTTCCCCGCGCGGCGTCTGGGCGGAGCCGCTGCTCCCGGCGTCCCCGCGGGCGCGGCGGGGAGTGAGGCCTGGGGCGCGGCCTGCGGCCCGGCTCGCGTCGGCCCAGTTGCTCCACGCGGGGGCAGGGGGACGCGATTGCCACGTTGGGTGAAGGGCAGGAAAAACTAGGAACTGGATGCAAGCCTACACGCTGCTCGTTCCTAGTGAAGGAAAAGTGATGATTATTCAGAAGGCGTCTGTTAAGGGACCTTTGAGCTGAATGAGGCTAACACTTTTCGGAAATTCTGTTTTTCGTTTTAGAGACACCTGTCTGTGAGGAGACCAGAAGCTGCAGGAAAAAAAATATATAGAAACTAATGACATTTGCGAATTTATGATCTTAGGTTTCTTTGGAGTCATTAGCGAAACACCTGAATTCTTTGGGGAACTTTCTCTTACTGCCTTGACTACTAAGTATGGTTATCATTGCTGCTTTACTCTGTTGGCCGCGGGTAGCCACAGTCTCACCTGAAATCCAACATAGGTGTTTTTTGAGCACAGCTTCTTGACACCAAGCTTAGGTGATTAGTATTGAAGTGATAAAAAAATACACTAGATGTGGAGCCTTTTTTAAAAAATAGGTTATTCGTTTTGCTTAGTGTCCCACGGAAAAATCATTAATTAAAAACTAAAGGATATCTCCAGATCAGTTGGATTGACATATACAAAGTGTAGGTCTTGCACGCACACACAACATCCTTATATACATTTACCTGTAAAGGAAGATTTTCCTTGGCCCCATTCAATTTATGGAAATGCTAATAGGGAGTTAGGGAAATGCAGTTTGCCCTCATTTTCCCTCAAAACCTTGCTTTCCTGAAACTATTCTCAGAAACCCAGTTTTCCTGAATAAGCAGACCACTCTACCATAGCAGAGAGCATTTGTATGTATTTTTAAAGCCAAGTTTGCAAAGTTAATTTAATTTCTAATTGGTAGAATAGACTAGTTGACCTTACTAACCAGGGCCATAACTATTAATACTAGTCCTGGAGAGGGTGGTTATTCCTGGTGAGCTTGGATAGTGGGTAGCAATAAGTAGAATAGAAGTGTGATAGAAACCTGTATATTTAACTTGTTAAATTGTCCATTTTACTCTTTATTTAATGTAGTGAGATCTCTTGAAAGCTCCATTCATGTCTGCTCTTAAAGTGGAGTCATCGGAAGGCTTTGTACCCACTGCCAGCCAGGGCCTTTACTGGGGGTCAGGAGATCCCGCAGGCTGGCGTGGAGGTGTAGTGCAGCAGTGTTTGAAGAGGGACTGGGATCAAGGAAAGGTGACAATAAGGACAAAATCAAGTGATCTTAGCAGTCCTCTCTAGAACATTCTTCATCTGGGCAAACCTTAAATAGTAGGGATTTTACTAAGAGAGCCTCAGTTACATATGACAGCTCAGCATCTTATCGAACAGGAATTTGTTATTCAGTTGAATATCTCTGTTGTCAGCAAAACCGCCCAGGGCAGGATAGCCTTGTTTAGACTGTGAGGACCTGCCCTGGACCTCTGAGCTGTATAGGCCAAGATCGCTCCTGGTTATGTGTTATGATACCCCCTCCAATGGATTTACAGAAAAGATCCGGCTGTTGGAAGTCTTGGGTTTGTATGGCATTGTGAGATAATAGACGTGGTAAACAGCTAAAACGCTAAGAAGAGTGAAGCCAGAGGCAGTGTGCCCTGGGAACCCAGAGGTGATTACACACCAAAGGCCGTGGGAAAGGCCTGGTTTGGAACAGACTTTAAGCAGAGAGTGAATTCTTATAAGCAGAGGAGTGGAAAGTGGGGTTCCTAGTGGCAGACACCATGAGCAAAGGTAAAAAGCTTAAAATGAAACTGTGTTCAGAGTAAAGCGAACAGCTGGTGTGCTGAGGCTGGAGTCTGTGTGGGGAGGGGTGCAGCCAGAGGGGTGCCTGGAAAGAAAGGCTCTCTGGTGATAAACTCTACTTTTTGATCAAGGTTATCTGATTTTTTCCCCCTTTTTATTTGGAAAATTTTAAGCAAACATAAAAGCACAGGGAAATAGTATAATGAATTTCCTAATATCTGTCAAATAGATTTTACAATTCTTGTTTGACCATCTCTGCTTTATCTTTTTTTTTTTTTTTGGTTGTGGTCGAGGTTTAAAGCAGTTCATTCCAGGCAACATAACATTTCACCCCTAAATAGTTCAGTGTGTACCTCCAAAGAAAGGGCATTTCTGATATAACCATAATACCATTATCACTGCCTAATGAAATTGACAATAATTCTCTGAGTTTTCTAAAAACCCAGTCCATGATCAGATTTTCCTGAGTGCTTCCAAAACACACTTATCTTTACTGTTGGTTTGTGTGAATCCAAATCCAAATCAAGAACCACACATGGTATTTTGTTGGATATCTGCAGGCTCTTTCAATCTAGGGCAAGGGTTTGGCACATTTTTTTCTGGGAAGGGCCAGATACCAGCTCTTTTAGGCTTTCCAGGCCACTGTGGTCTCTGTCATAACTGCTCAGCTCTGCCATTGTCTTGCAAAAGTAGCAATAGGTTATATGGAAATGAATGAGCATGGCTGTCTTCCAATAATATTTAATTTTCAAAAGTTTTTGTTTTAAAATCCACTTGAAGGCTGTATTTATCCACAGATCATAATTTGCTGACCCTGGTCTAGAGCAGTCACAGTGGGGTTCTTTAATGCCAATGATTTATTGATGTCACTTGGTTGATTGCCTATAGCATGATGTACATACAGGATTTATTTGGCTGCTTTTTGGGTAGTATGGTTTTGCTTCTCTGTCCCCTCTATTTCCTGTAAATTGGAAGTTAGATCTGAAGGCTTAATTAGGTTCATGTTCACCATTTTTGGCAAGTCTACTTCAGAAGTGGTTTGAATTCTTTTAAATCTAAATTTATCAGACTTTAAGAGACTTGGAAACCCTCATCAAGGAAGCTCAACATTACTAAAATAGGCTTTGCCTGATGGCTGAGAATACACTTTTTCTTTCTCTTCTTACTTTCCTTACTTGTAGGAGAGGATATAGCTGTTATTTTTGAAGGAGGTCGAGAACATTGAACCCCTCGTCTAGGTCATTGGAAACTTTATTCAAGGCATTCCTTGGCCCCTTGAATGTGTAAGCCATGTTTTTCCACTGAATGGAAATACTTTCCTTCCTTGTGTCTGAGATTGTCTTCCAATGGAGATTGGCTCATTTGTTTTTGTTTTTAAGCCCCTTATCTCTTAAACACTCAATTTTTTTCTGTTGACTTCCTCTTATCTCACCTCCCAGCAGGTCTAAGAACTGGATATTTGGGCCACGTAGACTTTCTGGTCTCTGTGTGAGTTGGCACACTTTTCCCTGTGTCCTATGGAAAGATTTTGAAGCTTCTAAGACTCACTGTGGTGCTGGATTCCAAGGCAATACATTTCTGAAAAAACAAGCTTACAGGTGAGAACTGTTATCCTCTATTCTAGAATGTTCATTGTTCCTAAATTCTACAGCACCTGAGGAAGTATGCTGACAAATAGTGCCAGCTGGAAGCTCGTCTTTTTGTCATTTAAGAATAATAGGGCATCCTAGCACTCTGGGAGGCCGAGGCGGGCGGATTGCTCGAGGTTGGGAGTTCGAAACCATCCTGAGCGAGACCCCGTCTCTACTAAAAATAGAAAGAAATTAATTGACCAACTAAAAATATATATACAAAAAATTAGCCGGGCATGGTGGTGCATGCCTGTAGTCCCAGCTACTTGGGAGGCTGAGGCAGGAGGATCGCTTGAGCCCAGGAGTTTGAGGTTGCTGTGAGCTAGGCTGACGCCACGGCACTCACTCTAGCCAGGGCAACAAAAAGTGAGACTCTGTCTCATAAAAAAAAAAAAAAAAAAGAATAATAGGGCAAAATCATATGTTCATTTGTTTATCCATTTTTCTATTGGGTTGTGGTCTTATTAGAATTATATATTGAGAATACTAATTTTTGGTCAAATATATTACAACTATTAATATTTCCCTCCCCCTAACTTTTTATACTTTGTGTGCAATATGTATGCTCTGCAGAAAATTTTAATTTTATGTAGTGAAAAGTGTCAGCCTCCCCTTTTCAGTTTGTTTTGTGTTTTGCTTAGAAAGACTTGCCCATTTTAAGATTTATATTTAAAATCCATGTTAACACAGATAAATGAACATGTACTGAGTGCTAGGAACCTGTGATTCTGAAAAAGAATGCTATTGAAGGGGGAATGTTTCCACCAGATAATATAATACCAAACTAATTAAATGTGGGCATTAAGATTGGTCCTGTGTGGATAAATGACAAAGTCGGGAGATGGGTATATAAGGGATTATTATATCATTACCCCTAGTTTTGTATATAATTGACTTTTCATAGTAAAATGTTTTCTTTAAAAAAAAACAGTAGTGGGAAAAATGCATCTTCGTCCCATTTGTTTATATTCAGCAGCTATTTAGTAAGCAATTCTGAACACTGGGAGTATTGTGTTAATACATGCACAATTTCTTAGAACTTATGTTTCTTACATGGGAGACATATGTTACTGTTATGGTTAAGGGCACCAACTCCTGTGTCTGCCTGCCTGGCTTCTAATCCTGGTACTGCCACTGACCACCTGGGAAGTTTTGAACTTTTTGATTTAAAAAATGAGGATAATAGCCTTCTGGAGGCTCTAGGGGGAATCTGTTTTCTTTCCTTTCCCAGCTTTTAGAGGCTGCCCACACTTCTTGGTTTACTGGTCCTTCCCTCCATCTTCAAAGCCAACAGTGTTGCCCCTCTCTGACCCTGCTTTCATCATCACATCTCTCTTTCTCAGATCTGGGCCAGGAGGAGTTTTCCACTTTTAAGAATGGATGTGATTAGGTTGGGTCCACTTGGATAATCCAGATTAATTTCTGCATCTCAAGATCCTTAACTTTAACCACATCTGTAAAGTCCCTTTGCCATATAAGATGATATATTCACAGGTTCCAGAGATTATGATGTGAACATCTTTGGGGAGGGAGGAGAGGGCTATTATTCTGCCAATCACAGATTTGAAGAGATGAAAGGAGGTGAGTGTGGCTGAAGCATTGGCAGGAAAAAGATGGGGTGGAAAAGGGAGCAAGGGGGTCCTATGGGTCATATTAAGTTTTGAAGTTTATCTCAACAGCAAGAGGAAGGCATGGTCAGATTTACTGCCCCAAACCTGGAATCAGCCATTTCTCCAAGGCACCCTGGTTAGCTGTTTTAAATTGAACAATGATATTTAGAAACCATAATCTGGACCATAGGGTGCTAATTGCTATTGGGTTGGCAGTTGTTTTTAAGCCATTTCCATGTACAGAGATAGAGGAAAACGTTGTTTGAGATAAAATATTTCATGAGTTCATTCTGATAACTTCCTAGTCTGTTTCTAGACTGCAGGGTTTTTTTTGCTTAACATCGTAGATCTTCTATCCATACCTCTTTCTTCCACTCTAAAAATCTCAGTTCCCAACAACAGTAGCATAATTAGCCATTTGCTTTATCCTTCACCACACAAAGAATCGCTGCTACTAGGGGGTGTGGGTTTTGGCAAGGAAGACCAAGAGGTAAAGTGCCATTTCATCACATCCAATCAAGGCTGCATACTGTCAATGTGACTTATCCCTTTTGCTGTTGACCTTGATGACCTGGCTGAAGTAGTGTTTAGGGTTTATCTGCTATAAAGTTACACTTTTCCCTTCTTTTCATACTGTACCCTTTGAAGGAAAGTCACTGTGAGCACCGTGCACTTAGGGAGCGAGGAGTTAGGCTTCACTTCCTTGAGGGTGAAGTATCTACATAAATTATTTGGAATTTTTTTCTGCACAAACAGGAGATTTCTCTATTTTCTCACATTTATTTATTCAGTCATTTATATCATTATGGACTTATGGATATTTTATACTTTAGGTTATAATCCAGTACTGCTTATTTTCTTCCCCAAATTGTTCCTGCCTTGCCCACTGGGAGCTCTCTCATTTGGCATCTGTGTCCCTCTGACACATTCCCATCATCGTGCGTTGGTTGGTTATTTATGTATTTTTGAGCACTTCCTTGCTTTCTGGCCCTACTAGATGCTCCAGATTCATCTATATATTCCCTGCACCAGTCTTAGAATTGGCCATTTCTCCAAGGATCCTCAGTTTCGCCTATTGAAAATGGTATTAGAAACCAAGAGCTGGATGCTGGATCCGCTCATTTCTGCTGCAGTGACATCACTTTTGGGTCCCCTCAGCTGATGGAACAAAGAACCGTATACGTATACTAACCTGTGTATATGCACGTATCTATAAATACTTCTGTGTGTCGCCGTCTGTGTCTGTAGTAAGCTAGACTTGAGTTCACACAGGTGTATCCAGCTGTCCTCCTTTCCCACATGGACCACAGGCCTGTCTGTGACCTCCTGCTCCGGCAGTGGGAATCTGGCTCTCTCCATCGGCCATCCCTTCCTTACTTGGTCAGAGCTTGTGTCCATGTACAGCAATATCAGAACTGCTAACTCGTAACCCTGTGGGAACCAGCTTAATCAACTATAGTCCAGTTTTTATGGACAGTTCCTTTTACCTTTAGTCCTGAAACTGTTGACTAGGCCAGATACTTTCTTTGGGCTGATTGAAATGAGACCCTACTACCTTGAGGACATCTTACCTGTCAGATCTATAGCATGGAGATTCCGTGGCTTCCCACAGCAGTTCTTCTGTCACTTAGGCACCCTGGGTGTTGTAGGACACTGAGCACATGAAGCCAGGTCAGCCTTTGCTACTCTGACTTGACAGAGGGAAGAGTACTTAGTAACTGTATTAGTTTTCTAGGGCTCCCATAGCAAAGTATCACAAACACAGAGGCTTAAAACAACAGAAATTTATTCTCTCACAGTTCACAGAAATCCAAAATCAGAAATCAAGGTGTTGGCAGGACCACACTCCCTCCAAAGGCTCTGTGGAAAACCCTTCCTTATCTTTTCCGGCTTCTGGTGGCTCCAGGCCTGCCTTGGCTAGTGGCTGCGTAACTCCAGTCTCTGCCTCCATCTTCACTTGGCCCCCTCCTCTGTGTCTGCCTTCTCTTCTGTCTCTCCTAAGGACATTTACCATTGGATTTAGGGCCCACCTGGTTTACCCAGGATGATCTCTAACTTAATCACACCTGCAAAGTCCCTTTGCCATGTTAGGTAACATATTCAGAGGTTCTGGGGATTAGGACATGGACAACTTTGGGGGGGGGCCTTTATTCAGTCTACCTCACTTTGTAATACAATAGTCACCACAGGATCTGAGCAGCTCTCCAGGCATTTTGTGGCAGGTACTTTAAGACCAGGTGCTAATAATCCTCCAGATGTGTTCAGGCTACTCTTCCACACCTGTCCTGTTCTTACCCTTCAGGTCCCTCCTTCCTCAGCATTGAAAGGAGGGGCTTTTGGATGAAAGGAGACTTTGGTTCCACACCTGAAATCCTTTCTTCAGAGCTTAATTATGGTCAGAAGCTGCCTTCAACTCCTTCTCCTCATCGTAAGGGTCATGGCCGATACCCTATGACAAAGTCAGGTTAACAATAGAAAAGCATAACACATACGTTTATTTAATCATAGTTTTACATGGCATGGGAGCTTTCAGAATGAAGACTCAAAGACACGGGGCGGACTGTCCACATTTATGCTGAAGTTTGGTGAAGCGGAACAGCCATGTGAAAAATGTGATAGACAAAAAGGGTATGAGCTCATGCAAATAGACCGAGTGGGGAAACCCAGCCAGGCCTGTCTGTTTGGATTCTTCTTGGCCTCTCTGTTGTAGCATTTCCTCCTTCCAGGCATGGGGCAGGACCCCTCTGGAATCAGGGTCTCATTCCATAATATCTTTATGGCCACCTGTTACACAGAGCGGCAGGAGGAAGATCTGAGTCATATTTTTAGATTTCATGGCTGGCTTTGGAAGAGGTCCGGCTTCTAAGATCCGCCTTGGGGAAGAGGGGTTGTGGTTTCTGTGGCTAGCCTCGGGCGAGATTGGGGGGCCAGAGACAGGAGGGTGAGATGAGGTCAGAGGGAAACTTTGCTTCTGAGGCCTTCACTTCGGGGTACCACGTTTTTTGAGCCCCGTCCACCCCACAGCTGTGGGAACTCCTGCCCCTGCACACTGTTGGTGTTTCGCTGCAGCTGCTATTTTATTTATTTGAATTTCATGTTATTTTGTCTTGTGTGATTAATTGTTTTTTTCATAAGAGCCTGAACACTGCCCGACTGTGAGCTCTGGTTGGATGGGAACCGCGCTGTCCTCGTTTCCGTTCCGCCACAGTGCCTTCCGCGTCGTGGCACCCGGTAAGAAAGAATTCATTTCCGGTTAGTTGAGAGTGTTTTTATGGAACTCTGATGTTTTGAGTCATGCCAGAGTAAATAAATTAGAGTTGGAAGAGTAAAAGAGAGAGAACTGCTCACACGATGCTGTGCTCATGTCCATGTGTTCAGATTACGCTTTGGAGGGTTAAGTTCCTCTTCCTGTTTTTGTCATCTGCACTTAGGTATGTGCAGCAGATCAGTTAATGAAAGTTATTAATATTTCTATATCCATGAAGGTTTCACTAACTTAGGAGCATTGAGATTGGAAGAGTGTTGTTTGAGCCATTATTTTTGAGAATAATCACCACCGCCTGCTTTGAACTACTCTTTCTCCGTTGATATGGTTTTCTGCAAAGTTGCATGCAGATTATAAAAGCCTGGTATAAGTTTATGAGAGGAAATTAGTATATCTTATAAATGAATAAAGAATGATTTGATAGCATTCCTGGAAGTATTTACAAAGTCTAAGTCACTGTTAATGTGACAATTAGATAAAGAATTGTGAACAGCAAGATCTTTTACAATAGATGTCAGGTGGATTCACAGATAACTAGGTGTACCAGGGTCCCAGTGCTTGAGATCCGCTGTGAATATACTGGCTGCAAGAATTTTCCAGAAGCTCGGTTACTTGCTGCTGCTTACTAGGTTTCTCTAGTCTCTGTGGTCACTTTCCATCTGTGCTAACCTGCAAGTGTATGAAGCAAATGGAACACAGGTTTCAGTGTAGAGGTGGCGGGTATTGTGTTGCCTTTGCAGAATGACTGTAACTAAGCCGTTGGTAACAAACACTGGCAGTGTTTGGGATGAGAGCTGCAGAGGTGAATGCAGCGGCTGTCTATCATGGAAAGAAAAGAAGAGCACGCTTGGTGCTCAGAGCTTTCTCTGTGACTTGGAGGTATCAGTATCTTCTTATCAAATGAGTGAATGGTTTTTGAAGTCAAGTTTGTGATCCAGGCCTCATTTAGAAAACGTCTATTTCCCTTTTCTGTCTTTTTCTTCTGGTCTTTTAGTTGTGCCCAAGTAAATAACAAACCCCCCTGATGAAAAAAGCCAAGTGGAAACATCATTCCTGCCCTTTCTGCATAACAATTAGGTACAAACTGGCCTTAGCTTGGCTCCTGCAGAGACAGACACACTTCCAAGTAGATGAACCCTCCCTTCCTCTCTCCCTCTTTTCCCCCTTTAGTGTTGCACTATGAATGTTTCCAGACACGCTCAGAGTGGAGCTAACAGCTCTCAGGTGGCAGCCACCCAGTATCAGAGGGGGTGCTCCGTGCTGGCTTTGCCACACCTGTTCTGTTTGCCCTCTTCCTTTGTGTTTTGGGGTCCTGTTCTCATGCTTCTGGAGAATTTTGAAGCAAATGCCAGAAATCATGTCATTTCATGCCCAAATATTTTAGTATGAATTTTATTTAAAAGTTTTTTTTCTTACATAACTACAATTCTACCTCACAATGAACAAAAATTCCACATTCCATAATATCATCACTACTGTGTTCAGATTTCCCCAGTTTTCTGAAAAAAAAGGTCTGTGCAGTTGGTTTATTCAGGTAAGAATAAAAAAGCCCATTCATTTTATTTGGTTTTTACATCTCTCAAGTCTCTTTAATGATAATTAATGTTTGCCAGGCACTAATTTGATTTCATGCAGAGTACTCTTATTCTTTTACCTTTCATTTTTAACTGTTTTGGAGTAGTTGCATGCTCTCATGCTTTCATTCATTATTATTACTTAAATTTATATACAGTAAAACTGACTTTTTGGTACAATTCTCTGAGTTTTAAAATGTGTAAATGCTTGTGACCATCATCACAATCCTGATACAGAGAGGTTCCACCACCAGGAAAACCAGGAAACAAAACAAACCCTCCCTCATTCTGCCCCTTTGTAGTCAAACTCTCCCCCTCCTCCATCTCTGATGTCCTTGATCTGTTTTCCCTCTTTATACATTTTGCCTTTTCCAGAATGTCATGTAAATGAAATTATATAGTATATATTGTAGTATATAATATTAACCTTTGAGGCTGACTTCTTTCACTCATACCATGCCTTTGAGATTCATCTGTGTGTATATCCTTTCTTATTGCTATTGTCTGGACATACCACAGTGTGTCCATTTGTTAAAGGATTATTTGGATTATTTATAGTTTTTGGTGATTATTAGTAGAGCTGCTATAAACATTTATATATAGGTTTTTATATGAAGCAAAGTTTTCATCTTTCATCCTAGATTCCTAGGAGTGCAATTGCTGGATCATATGGTAATTATATGTTTAATTTTATAAGAAACTCTCTGAGGTGTCTGTATCACTTTCATTTCCATCAGCAATGTGTGAGTTCCAGTTGCTCCACGACCTAGTTAGCACTTCATATTATCAGTTTTTTTTATTTGAGCCATCCTAATAGTTCTGTTGTTTCCATTTTTAATTATCTGATTTTAGGTTTTTTGAGATTTTAAAACATCGTTCTTTTTTTTCTTTTTGAGACAGAGTCTCACTCTATCGCCCTGGGTAGAGTACAGTGGCATGATCATAGCTTACTACAACCTCAAACTCCTGGGCTCCAGTGATTCTCCTCCCTCAGCACCCCCGAGTAGCTGGGACTAAAGGCGAGCACCCAGCTAATTTTTTCTACTTTTGGTAGACAGGGGATCACACTCTTATTCAGGTAGGTCTTGAACTTCTGAACTCCAGAGATCCTCCAGTCTCAGCTTCCCAGAGTGATAGGATTACAGGTGTGAGCCACCAAGCCCAGCCTTAAAAAATTGTTCTTAATAATTCTTGAACAAATTACTGAATTTATATACCTGTTATAAAAATAAATATTTTTGGTTTACTGAGATTTTCCACAGATAAATATGGTAACTACTCTATACTAAAAATAAATTAAAACCAGAATATTTATAGACATGAATCAATCTTAAATCTCACCAATTGAGAGCTCTGTAATCAAAAGATTACAGAATAATATCTGAATATATGGTGCATTTTGCAACAATTTGTTGTATGTGGCTTGTGAACATCTCATTCTTATTTTACCCTCAGTAACCAAGAGTGCCATATTTGCTTTTGCCATCAGTTTTATGCTAGATTGATCAATGAATAGTTAACTATATGAAAGCAAATTGGACTTTAGCAGAGAGTAATTTGTTTGAATGTACTTTATAGTGCCACCGTTGTTTTTAAAATGGGCTGCTCTGAATTTCTGTTTGTGAACTTAAGATCATGTATCTCTTCCTTTAGATGATTTAGGAACCATGATCACTGGTGGCTGTTGCTTGAAAGTATAGAGTTGAGTCCTGGATTAGTTACCAGAATGCCACTGTTAATGTTGTTTGTCGTCTCTTGCTTCTCCTGGTGAAACTGTAAAAGTCCCCAGGTACACAAGGTCATTGCTGAGGGAGGCCCTGTCTATAAACTCAGGCCTTTTCCATGAGCTGCTGAGATTGGGCTTCCAGTGTGTGGTAGTATTTAAAAAGCAGGTTTCTGTCGTCTACTTGGAAGAACGGTGCAATGCAGATTTTATTTTGTGACTTGAATTTTCCTATTTTTGCTTCTGAAAAGTTGCTGGAGAGTTAGACCTACTGACAGACCTTCCTTTCTAATGTAGGGACATCAGAAAGAAAAAACTGAGCTGACAAAGGAATATTGAGGACAGATTGTCAGATGAGCATCTTAAGGTGGTTGTGGTTCAAAGCCTAAGGCCAAATATCAGGAAGGTTTGCTTCAAAGTGTTAAAAAAAATGGGGTAGATTTCTGCAGTCAAGTCATTTTTGGTTTAAAACTAGCATATTAATGGACCTTTATACCAATTAGGATTGGAATAAATTAGAAATAGTGTAGTTTTATTAAGGATATTACCTCAGTTGGACCCAAATTTTTGTTTTGTTTAAAAAGTGATTTATGTATCTCCTTTAAACTTTAGGTTTGTTGGAATTGTGTTAATAAAGTGACATGTATGTGCGTGTATATATGCTGGGGGTTGGGCTGAGGGGATAATGGAAATGCCTTGGGGCCTGGCCTGTAGTCCCAGGTTTTAGAATGCCAGACTATACACCTGCTGCCCCCTGGTGGCAGCGTGGTAAACAGTGCAGTTCCAAGGTAAGGACTTTGGAGAGTGGTGTCCATTGTACTGCCCTGTCCAGAGGATTGTAGAGGGAGCTGGGAGATACACTTTCTCTTTTTTCCCTACTCTTCTTGTGATTACTACCTGTGTGATCTTAGGCAAATCATTTAGTTTGATTAAAGTGTAGGTTTCACTTTCTTCAACTTTAAAACGTCATTTCTAAAGTTTCTTCCAGCTTTAACATCCTGTGATTCTTCAATGATATTAGCAAACATTACATAGCAAAAGATGTCAAGTTCCATTTTTTCCTTTGGCAGCTATATCCTAATAAATCCCAGGTATCTATTCAAGAAAGTAGGTTCTGGAATATATCCAGAGGCTTGATGTGGATTCAGTGCTGGACAGCAACTGCATAAATCTGTAGCACAGCCCATAATTAATCAGCATGATGACCCTGCATTCTTATGGAAAACTTAAATAATTTATATTTTTTATTTTAGTTATAGAAAAAATACATCAATTTTACCATCTCAACCATTTTTAAGTGTATACTTTAATAGTAGTAAGTATATTCACCTTCTTGTGCAGCCAATCTCCAGAACTTTTTCATCTTGCAAAACTGAAACTCTGTATCCATTAAACAATCCCCCATTATCTCCCTATCCCCAGCCCAGGCACCCACTATTCTACTTTCTGTGTCTATGAATTTGACTACTCCAGGTACCTCTCATAAGTAGAATCATACAGCATGTGTCTTTTTGTGATTGGCTTATTTTGCTTAGCATAATGTCCTCCAGGTTCATCCATGTTGGAGTGTGTGTCAGAATTTCCTTCCTTTTTAAGGCTAAAAGGATATTCCACATGTGGGTGTATTCACCAAACTTCCTTTATCCATTCATCTGTCAACGGACACGTG